AATATTCTTCAGAAAGTTTTTCCCAAGTCTGAACAGAAGTTTCCATAAATGTGTGGCACTTGTAGGTTGCTTCACTCTTCTGTCCAGTTTCATCCAAAATAACTCATGGGTTTAAATCTGGAGACTGTGCTGTTCTTTTTTTCTTGAGTAGTTTTGGCAGAGCTTGGATTGTGTTTTGTTATATTTTATCTTTTTTTAACCTCAGTCTGTTCAGTTCTTCCCTTTGTACCATTTCAAGCTCTTCAATGGACTTGCACGATTTGAGCTGCAATAATAACTGAAAATTACAGTTCTAAACTTTCTCATTTGATTGAATAACTGTAGGGAGAATTCTATCACAAAGTTAGGCACAATTAAGAGCAGAAAACATTTTATTTTTTCAGTCTTCAAGGTCCTGTATTACACAAAATTGATCCTTTTGAGCTCAAAGCCATAAAACATACCCGGAGTTGTGTTTTGTTTCATTCATAGCTACTTTTTACCTTTGTTCATTAGAGTTGGCAAATACAGGACCAAAATTATCCAAAAGATTCTCGTGAAGGTGTGTGGAGTTTACAACACATGAAGCACTTCAGTATTACCACGTGACATCACAAGTGGAACAGAGTGTTTTCTGTTTGAGAGAAGAACTCATCTAATATGCAGCACCAAACTATTACTTATTTAGGTAAAAGAGGTTATGATATTTTGTTCTGAACATTATGAAAATTTGAGAGAGATGTTTTGTGCATTTGAGGGACACATATATATAAGTCAAATCATGTTAAAGCTATTTAAAGTTATGAACCTCGTACCTCGGGGGTTGTCAACATCTGAAAAAGGACAAAGAGTCACTGTATTTCTCTTTCCTTGGAAAATCCTCTATACAACCTTTAAGTTCACCAGACAAAAAGACCAAAAAAGTTTTTTAAAAATCCATTCAAATAAATAAACTAATGTATTAATAGTTCTTTTTGGAAGGAGGTGTGATTATTTTATGTATTATTTTTTTGATTGTCGGCTCTGTGTTAAATATAATATTTGAGATTAAAATCATGACTAGAATAGATAATAGAATTAGGGGAGATAAATAAAAGACACAACAATTCTATGAAATTACAATGATAAGATTACATATGGGTTAATTTATTTGTAGAAAACTGATTTTTTATTTTATTTTATTTTTTTTGTCTCTCTTAATCAGTGAGAGGAGGAGTGTATGCAGAGCAGATGTAAATGTGTGTACAGTACATAGTGTGCTGCTGCTCCTCCTCACTCACATGTGCAGTCTCAGGATGGACACACTCACTCTGCTGTGGGCTGCTCTCTGTCTGATCTGTGAGTTTTCCTCTTTCACACTCAACATCAGCTCCACTTCCACACAATGCTCCTGTTATTGAAGCATCTCCTCAACACATTTCTGTCCTCCACAGGTGTGAAGTGTGAGACACTGACACAGCCAACCTCTGTGACTGTGCAGCCAGGACACACTCTCACCATCCCCTGTACTGTCTCATATGATGTTACGCTTTCTGGTGGCTACTTCACAGCATGGATCAGACAGCCTGCTGGGAAAGCAATGGAGTATATTGGATATCACTGTGCTGGATGTACTATTGTACTCAAAGATTCACTGAAGAACAAGTTCAGTATAAATGTAGATTCGTCCAGTAACACAGTGACTCTGAATGGACAGAACATGCAGCCTGGAGACACTGCAGTGTACTACTGTGCCAGACAACGCTCTGCACAGTGATAGAAAACACATCCACAGCTGTACAAAAATGTACATCAACAGAGTTTTCCCTCCACTTTAAACACTGGCAGTGTGACACACATAGAAATAGAACAATTTTTTTTGTCATTGTCAAAGACCAAAATGTATGTTTTGTATACAGTATAAACATCACAATTAATACAAATATATTCATCACAAAAACGTGTTCATGTATTGTATGTAATTGTTAAACATTTAAATTTCATTAGTCTCTCAGTGAAAGATAAATCCAGCAAACAGAGACTAATGTGTGGATTTCCACAGGGCTCCATTTTATGACCAGCTTTGTTCTCCCTGTGTATGTTAGCACTCCACTCAGTATTTAGAACATATTTAATTTCTTTTCACTGTTTTGCTGATGATGTTCATATCCACACACTATTCAAATCAAAAGAGGGTCTTATAAGACCTTGGTAAAATGTCTCAGAGAATTCAAAGACTGGATTATATTTTAAAAATGAAAACAAAAGTGAAGTATTTATGTTTGGTGAGTCTGGTCCCGTTTGTTGTTATACATGTTCTTCCTGTTCTTGTGTCATTTATTCACAACCTTTTGTAAGAAAACGTGGGGTATTTCTTTCTTTATTTCTTTATTTACTGCCCACCAGTGTGAAAAGTTAGTCCACACGTTTGTGAAATCACGTTTAAATTATTGTAATTCCCTGCACCACAAACTTGATTCCTCTTTAATAAACAGATTATAATTAGTCCATCCTGTGCTTCTGTAACGTCATTGGCTCCTTGTACCTTTTAGAATTCAAATTAAAGCTGCACTGTGTAACTTTTTGGTCGAGGGTCAGTCACCTTCTTGTTTCTATGGATATGTCATTGCTCTGCCTGGAATGTTCCACATTATGACATTAAACAGCTCCAACTTGTGATGATCTAGTTACAGGTGGTTTTATAGTTATTATTTTTATAGTGGTTTTATAGTTCAAAAATATCTCGAAAAATAAGCATTCTGACTGTGAGCGGAGTTGCCTCTCCACAGATCTGACCTGTAACTTAGTCTGGTTTGGTCTCCATGATGATAGACAGGTCATAATGAAGCGTTTGGAGATTTGGAGAGTCAGTTTTGTGTAATATAATACCATTACAAGCCATAAAGTCAGAAGATAATAAAGAGTTACACATTATAATGAAAGGCTGAAGTTGGGTGTTGAAGTAGGAGGTGCTCACTCTATGCAAAAGCAAATCCTCCCCTCATATTACAAATGTGGTTGTGTTCAGCGTTGACACCAAACCATCAGCAGCGATGATATCTGCCAAATATTTCTTGGTTCTTCTTGTGTATATCAGCGGCTCAGGTGAGACAGATATTTGCTTTTTACTGTATTCTCTCACTGAACTAAACTAAGGAATAAATGCATTTTAGGAGCTGAAGGCCAAACCCTGATTCAGTCTGAAGCAGTGGTCACAAGTCCAGGAGGGTCACACCGTCTGACCTGTACATATTCAGGATTCAGTACTGATTATGACACTGTTTGGATCAGACAGGCTGCTGGGAAAGGCCTGGAGTGGATCTCTTACATTAGCAGTGGCAGTAGTAGCAAGTACTACTCCGATTCAGTGAAAAACCGCTTCACCGTGTCCAGAGATAACAGCAGAAAAGAGGTGTATCTGCACATGAGCGGCCTGAGAGCGGACGACACTGCGCTGTATTTCTGCGCCAGAGACTCTGTTACTTCACTTCAGTAATGAACAGACAAAACACTTCAGTAACAGTACTTTTAAAGGTGCACTAGTTCACTGTTGTGGTAGAGGGGTCCCCCACTTTATTGTTTCCATGGTGATGTTATAAAATGTTCCACTGTATTGCAATAAATGTATCTACATGGAGACAACATGAAGTACTTCGGCCTATGGAAGAGACTTGTTCAAAGTAAAACTATTTTTATGTGGACTCAGGTTAGATGATGATGTAAGTAAGTGAGTAAGTCTTTATTTATATAACGCTTTCACAGAAATTTTTCTGTCCCCAAAGACGCTTTACACAGCATTATTCTGCATTATTCATTCACTCTATACCCTAGTGATGGTAAACTACTATTGTAGCCACAGCTGCCCTGGGGCACACTGACAGAGGCGCGGCTGCCATGCCACTCGGCGCGATCGATCCCTCCGACCACCACCATCACTCACACACACCACTTTCATACTAGGCAATGTGGGTGAAGTGTCTTGCCTAAGGACACAATGATTGAATTGATTGTATTTAACTGACTTTGACTATCAACTGTTTATGGAGACCTGGAGCATGTTTAGGATTGAACATGTAGGCTGAATATATAATGTATTATTTTGAGAGGAGACAGTTTTGGCTCTATTATATTACTATTATTATTTTAATAAAGAATATAATTTTATTTTACAACTTCCTCACTTTCTTCAAACATGCAGCTATATAATTGTCACTCCATGCACTTCATTTTTAAATTTTTGATTGTCAGCCCTGTGTTAAAAATAATATTTGAGATTAAATTCATGACTGGAATAGATAATATAATTTGTGGAAATAAATAAAAGATACAACAATTCTATTAAATTACAGTTGTCAGGTTACATATGTGTTCATTTATTTACCGTATTTTTCAGACTAGAAGTTGCTCCGGATTATAAGTCACACCAGCCAAAAAAAATGTGTAATGAAGAAGAAAAAAACATATATAAGTTGCACCGGACTATAAGTCACACTTTTTGTGGGAAATTAATTTTATAAAATCAGAGACCAGGAACCAACATTTCATCAAAGGCAAATTACTATTAATAACAATAGAACAGAGAACAACAGGCTGAACAGGCGTCTGGTATGTTAACGTAACATATTAAGAGTTATTCAGATAACTATAACATAATCAACAGAACAAAATTACTAAACTCTCGATTTCACTCCAAATCATTAAATCCATTTCTAAGCAACACCCAACCCATAGAACTATAATAAATTATTGTAGATCCGTGGCAACTCCGCGACCTCCAGAGGTAAATGGAGCACCGCTTCTTCTTCTGGGTAGCTGTCGTCAGACTCAGCATCAGTTCCAGTTAGAATTATTCTGGCGTTTCTGAATCCCGACAGGATGGTTTCAGTGTCAATGAAGTCCGTCCTTTGTCGATCCAGTGACTTCCAGGAAAGTTGCATGGTGCACCCTCCTGGTTGCTGTGAAGCTGTGTTCACCATCCTGCTTTTTACCAGTCCCTCACAAGTTTCTCTCTCACTCCAAACTTTCTTTCTGCTGCTCAATTGATTACCATTTTTGGCTGAATACTTCACTATTTGCAGCAGGACAGAGGCTTTTTCTGCACGAGACATGCCCAGTAGAGTGAAGTGACAGTGAGCCTCTCGAGGCTGTCAGTGTCAAAATTTTAATATATAAGTCGCATTGGAGTTTAAGTCGCAGGAAACACCCAAACCATAAACTAAACTGAAATTCTAGATGTAACAAAATTATCACGTGATAAAGGGCAGCCCTGTCAGATACCAACTTTCTCTAGAAAAACATTTCATTCAGGCATTCTGACTGTGAGCAGACTTGCCTAATCACAGATCTGACCTGTAACTTGGCTTGGCTTGGTCTCCATGACGATAGAAAGGTTTAGATTTTCTTGTTTGTTATTTTAGATTTGACTGACCTTACTCTTGAAAATTTACACAATGCACATTTAATGTTGTAATGGTTCCTTAACTATTTACATCTTTAGAGTCTCGAAAGTATAAATATGAACATATGGAATATAGTGGAATATAGTAAAGAGTAATACAGTATAGTAGTATCATAAACAAAGAAAAGTAGGTCCAATCTTTTTTCAAGTTTTCATTTCACATTCCTGTCTGTGTCCAGCAGAGGGAGATGTATGCAAATAAACTCTCTTTATATTGGTCTATTATTTGTGCCTCTGCAACAGAATTATTTGTGACATTGGAAACTTAACACAAAGCACAGAAGTGACAAATTTAATAATGGAAACAGTTATTTTGGTGACTTTTCTCTTTATAGCTACAATAAGTGGTAAGTATTTACGTACGATCTAGTGCATGTGCGTGTGGTTGGAAGTGGTTTTGTGTATTTCATGTTTTTCTTTTGCAGGTGTGTGGACAGAGATCAGACTGGAGCAGCCATCTTCTTTGGTGAAAAGAGCTGGAGAAAATGTGAAGATGTCCTGTGTTACATCTGGTTTTTCTATGACAAGCACTTTCATCCACTGGATACGACAGAGACCAGGACAAGGGCTCGAGTGGATCGGCAGAATGGATGCTGGAAGTAACTCACCAATTTATGCCAGTGCCTTTCAACAACGCTTCACTCTGACTGAAAATGTCCCCAGCAGCACCCAGTACATGGAGATCACAGGTCTGACAGCAGAAGACACTGCTGTTTACTACTGTGCCCGACAAGCACAGTGACAGGAAGAATGAAGCTCATGTACAAAAACATCCAACCAAGAGCTGCTGTGCATGTTCCTCTCAAACACAGACTGGACATTCACTCCAAAACAAATACCATGAAATTTGCCCGTTTTAATTTTCTGTTGCAACCACATCCTAAACTGAAGACAAAAATAAAAGGTTATGTCTTGAAAATTACTGTAAAAATATCCATGAATTAAGATTTGTTCAAACTCGATTTCAAACTGAAGAATCGTCTCTAGATACTAAATACTGATTCAAATGTCACAATATTAACAAAAAAAAAAAAGCAACAACATGTGTTTAGATGATAGAATGTGATTTTTAATATTAAATCATAATACTTTCTTTTTAAACTGTATTTAAATGTGTGATTTTCTTCTACTTCTGATGTGGAAACACTGTCAAAAGTACTTCTCATGAGAATGCATGAAACCAATGAGACACAAATATTTATCCTTCATATTAGATATTAGTGATGTCAAATGCAAATACATTTTTGTTTCTCATAGGAGAACTTTTCTGTGTCTCTTTGTCAATGAGAGGAGGAGTGTATGCAGAGCAGATGTAAATGTGTGTGCAGTACATAGTGTGCTGCTGCTCCTCCTCGCTCACATGTGCAGTCTCAGGATGGACACACTCACTCTGCTGTGGGCTGCTCTCTGTCTCATCTGTGAGTTTTCCTCTTTCACACTCAACATCAGCTCCACTTCCACACAATGCTCCTGTTATTGAAGCATCTCCTCAACACATTTCTGTCCTCCACAGGTGTGAAGTGTGAGACACTGACACAGCCAACCTCTGTGACTGTGCAGCCAGGACACACTCTCACCATCCCCTGTACTGTCTCATATGATGTTAGCAGCTACAGGACACACTGGATCAGACAGCCTGCTGGGAAAGGCCTGGAGTGGATTGGGCGTTACTGTTCTTCTTGTACTGACACACACTTATACAAAAATTCACTGAAGAACAAGTTCAGTATAAATGTAGATTCCTCCAGTCAAACAGTGACTCTGAATGGACAGAACATGCAGCCTGGAGACACTGCAGTGTACTACTGTGCTCGAGAGCCACAGTCAAACAAAGTATATGTAGAGCTGTACAAAAACACATCACAGTGTTATTTACTGTAGCTGCTAGAGGAGGAGCTCTGACACCACTGAAGTCATGTGTTAGGATTTGTTTAAGTGCAGCTGGATAAAACAGAAACCAAATATTCTTCAGAAAGTTTTTCCCAAGTCTGTTGCTGAAGTTCCCATAAATGTGTGGCACTTGTAGGTTGCTTCACTCTTCTGTCCAATTCATCCAAAACTAACTCGATGGGGTTTAAGTCTGGAGACTGTGCTGTTCTTTTTTCCTGAGGTAGTTTTGGCAGAGCTTGGACTTGTGTTTTGTTATATTTTATCTTTTTTTTAACCTCAGTCTGTTCAGTTCTTCCCTTTGTACCATTTCAAGCTCTTCATTGGACTTGCACGACTTGAGCTGCAAATAATAACTGGAAAAATTACAGTGTTCTAAAACTTTCTCTATTGATGACATAACTCTAGGGAGAATTCTATCACAAAGTTAGGCACAATTTAAGAGCAGAAAACATTTTATTTTTTCAGATTCTTCAAGGTCCTGTATTACACAAAATTGATCCTTTTGAGCTCAAAGCCATAAAACATACCCGGAGTTGTGTTTTGTTTCATTCACAGCTACTTTTTACCTTTTGTTCATTAGAGTTTGGCAAATACAGGACCAAAATTATCCAAAAGATTCTCGTGAAGGTGTGTGGAGTTTACAAACACATTGAAGCACTTCAGGTATTACCACGTGACATCACAAGTTGAAACAGAGTGTTTTCTGTTTGAGAGAAGAACTCAGTCTAAATATGCAGGGTTTGTGTGTTGAACATGTGTGAATGAAACAAAACACAACTCCAGGTCTGTTTGTGATGAGGAAACAACATTATACATTTTGTGTTAAAAAAAATAGTTGCAAAATCCAAAACAAACATGGCTGCATACACAGAAAAACTGAAAAAAATCTACATAAAGGACTGAGAAACAGTGCAGATTCTTACAGGATCAACAACTGAAGCACCAAACTATTACTTATTTCAGGTAAAAGAGGTTATATATTTTGTTCTGAAAGTTATGAGAATTTTGGAGAGGAGATGTTTTGTGCATTTGAGGGACACATGATATATAAGGTAAAATCATGTTAAAGCTATTTAAAGTTATTGAACCTCGTACCTCGGGGTTGTCAACATCTGAAAAAGGACAAAGAGTCACTGTATTTCTCTTTCCTTGGAAAATCCTCCATACAACCTTTAAGTTCACCAGACAGAAAGAGTAAAAAAAAAACAGACAAAAATTTGATTCAAATAAACAAACTATTGTATTAATAGTTTGTTTTGGAAGAAGGGCTGATTATTTTATGTATTTTTATTGATTGCTGTTAATTGTTAAATATAATATTTGAGATTAAAATCATGACTAGAATAAATAATTGAATTAGTGGAGATAAATAAAAGATACAACAATTCTATTAAATTACAATTATAAAATTACATATGGGTTAATTTATTTGTAAAAAACAGAATTTTTTTGACTCTCTCTAATCAGTGAGAGGAGGAGTGTATGCAGAGCAGATGTAAATGTGTGTACAGTACATAGTGTGCTGCTGCTCCTCCTCGCTCACATGTGCAGTCTCAGGATGGACACACTCACTCTGCTGTGGGCTGCTCTCTGTCTGATCTGTGAGTTTTCCTCTTTCACACTCAACATCAGCTCCACTTCCACACAATGCTCCTGTTATTGAAGCATCTCCTCAACACATTTCTGTCCTCCACAGGTGTGAAGTGTGAGACACTGACACAGCCAACCTCTGTGACTGTGCAGCCAGGACACACTCTCACCATCCCCTGTACTGTCTCATATGATGTTAGCAGCTACTGCTACAGCATGGATCAGACATCCTGCTGGGAAAGCAATGGAGTATATTGGATATCACTGTGCTGGATGTAGCGGAGCACTCAAAGATTCACTGAAGAACAAGTTCAGTATAAATGTAGATTCCTCCAGTAAAACAGTGACTCTGAATGGACAGAACATGCAGCCTGGAGACACTGCAGTGTACTACTGTGCTAGAGGACCACAGTCACACAAAGTATATGTAGAGCTGTACAAAAACACATCACAGTGTTATTTACTGTAGCTACTAGAGGAGGAGCTCTGACACCACTGAAGTCATGTGTTAGGATTTGTTAAACTGCAGCTGGATATATGGTATCAACTTCCTCTTTTAGTAGTAGAGTCATTTCTACATGTTGTGGTTGCATTTGCATATATTAAATTGGTAGAGCTGTTTATGTTGAGTTAAATCCACAGAATTGTATAATACAGTCGTATGTGTTACAGAGAACAGATGCATTTTATTTCAACTCTTAAACTCCCTTTTGATAAATCTATGTGACAAAAACACAGGCAGCTGCAAACTTTCTTTCAGGAGCAGCAATAAGGGATGCACCACTTTTACCAACACAAGTTCTATTATAGTTGTAAACCTGAACAATTACACAGGATTTTGAGAGTGTAGATTACTTTTTTACTGGAATACTTGAGGGGCTGTTTGAAATTTCTACTAAAATCACTGTAATCAAGTACAATTCCAGTATAACTTAGAGAAGTACCTTTAAAATGTACTACTTTGTCTTTGTAGACTGTTGTACCTCACTCACACACAACACCAAACAGGATGAAGTGGGAGAAGATGAATGTCTAAAAAAACATCTAAATACAGTAAATAAGAAAAACTTCATGTGACCACAGGCCTTCAGTGAAAACAACTGGTGATGATCAGAAGTTCTGAAGTTAAACAAAACCTGTTTGACACCATTTAACACTGACATTTTCACACACATACTCAAACATGTATTTTGTATTGAGTCTCCCTCTGATGCTCCTCACTGTTAGTGTGAAAGCAAAATACTGCTGTGCTCCTGTGTGTCTGTATAAAGCCCATGTGAGAGTGTGACAGTACTACCCTTTTTACACCCATCTCTCTCTTTCATGATACATACACACTAATATATCTTTAAGAATGTTAAGTCACTATTATATAAATACAGATATAATTTACACTACTGGTCAAAAGTTTTAGAACACCAAATGTTTACTGTTTTTTACTGTTTATTGTTGACCAAAACATATTCTGAACTTTTGATCCATGAAAGTGTCCACCTTTGGCAGATATAACAGCTGAACACACTCGTGGCTCATTCTTTTTAAAACAGAAATCAAATATTCTTCAGAAAGTTTTTCCCAAGTCTGTAACAGAAGTTTCCATAAATGTGTGGCACTTGTAGGTTGCTTCACTCTTCTGTCCAGTTCATCCCAAAACTAACTCGATGGGGTTTAAGTCTGGAGACTGTGCTGTTCTTTTTTTCCTGAGGTAGTTTTGGCAGAGCTTGAACTTGTGTTTTGTTATATTTTATCTTTTTTAACTTCTGTCTGTTCAGTTCTTCCCTTTGTACCATTTCAAGCTCTTCATTGGACTTGCACGACTTGCGCTGCATCAATAACTGGAAAAATTACAGTGTTCTAAAACTTTTGAGCAGTAGTGTATGTTTGTTTTTTGTGAGTATGACAGGGTTTTATGATTCTCTCATGTTGACTTCATTTGTTGGGATAATGTCTGTTCTGAGAGTTCTCTATTGATGACATAACTCTAGGGAGAATTCTATCACAAAGTTAGGCACAATTTAAGAGCAGAAAACATTTTATTTTTTCAGATTCTTCAAGGTCCCGTATTATACAAAATTGCCAATTGGCAAATACAGGACCAAAATTATCCAAAAGATTCTCGTGAAGGTGTGTGGAGTTTACAAACACATTGAAGCACTTCAGGTATCACCACATGACATCACAAGTTGAAACAGAGTGTTTTCTGTTTGAGAGAAGAACTCAGACTAAATATGCAGGCACCAAACTTTTACTTATTTCAGGTAAAAGAGGTTATATATTATGTTCTGAATGTTATGAAAATGTTGGAGAGGAGATGTTTTGTGCATTTGAGGGACACATGATATATAAGGTAAAATCATGTTAAAGCTATTTAAAGTTATTGAACCTCGTACCTCGGGGGGTGTCAACATCTGAAAAAGGACAAAGAGTCACTGTATTTCTCTTTCCTTGGAAAATCCTCCACACAACCTTTAAGTCCACCAGACAAAAAGACTAAAAAAGTAAAAAAAAACAATTCAAATAAATAAACTAATGTATTAATAGTTCTTTTTGGAAGGAGGTGTGATTATTTTATGTATTATTTTTTGATTGTCGGCTCTGTGTTAAATATAATATTTGAGATTAAAATCATGACTAGAATAGATAATACAATTAGTGGAGATAAATAAAAGATCAACAATTCTATTAAATTACAATGATAAGATTACATATGGGTTAATTTATTTGTAGAAAACTGATTTTTTTTTTGTCTCTCTTAATCAGTGAGAGGAGGAGTGTATGCAGAGCAGATGTAAATGTGTGTGCAGTACATAGTGTGCTGCTGCTCCTCCTCGCTCACATGTGCAGTCTCAGGATGGACACACTCACTCTGCTGTGGGCTGCTCTCTGTCTGATCTGTGAGTTTTCCTCTTTCACACTCAACATCAGCTCCACTTCCACACAATGCTCCTGTTATTGAAGCATCTCCTCAACACATTTCTGTCCTCCACAGGTGTGAAGTGTGAGACACTGACACAGCCAACCTCTGTGACTGTGCAGCCAGGACACACTCTCACCATCCCCTGTACTGTCTCATATGATGTTACTGCTTTCTGGTGGCTACTACACAGCATGGATCAGACAACCTGCTGGGAAAGGCCTGGAGTATATTGGATATCACTGTGCTGGATGTAGCGGAGCACTCAAAGATTCACTGAAGAACAAGTTCAGTATAAATGTAGATTCCTCCAGTAAAACAGTGACTCTGAATGGACAGAACATGCAGCCTGGAGACACTGCAGTGTACTACTGTGCCAGACGACCACAGTCACACAAAGTATATGTAGAGCTGTACAAAAACACATCACAGTGTTATTTACTGTAGCTACTAGAGGAGGAGCTCTGACACCACTGAAGTCATGTGTTAGGATTTGTTTAAGTGCAGCTGGATATATGGTATCAACTTCCTCTTTTAATAATAGAATAATTTCTACATGTTGTGGTTGCATTTGCATATATTAAATTGGTAGAGCTGTTTATGTTGAGTTAAATCCACAGAATTGTATAATACAGTCGTACGTGTTACAGAGAACAGATGCGTTTTATTTCAACTCTTAAACTCCCTTTGATAAATCTATGTGACAAAAACACAGGCAGCTGCAAACTTTCTTTCAGGAGCAGCAATAAGGGCTGCACCACTTTTACCAACACAAGTTCTATTATAGTTGTAAACCTGAACAATTACACAGGATTTTGAGAGTGTAGATTACTTTTTTACTGGAATACTTGAGGGGCTGTTTGAAATTTCTACTAAAATCACTGTAATTAGGTTTAATTCCAGTATAACTTAGAGAAGTACCTTTAAAAGTTCCTACTTTGTCTTTGTAGACTGTTGTACCTCACTCACACACAACACCAAACAGGATGAAGTGGGAGAAGATGAATGTCTAAAAAAACATCTAAATACAGTAAATAAGAAAAACTTCATGTGACCACAGGCCTTCAGTGAAAACAACTGGTGATGATCAGAAGTTCTGAAGTTAAACAAAACCTGTTGGACATCATTTAACACTGACATTTTCACACACATACTCAAACATGTATTTTGTATTGAGTCTCCCTCTGATGCTCCTCACTGTTAGTGTGAAAGCAAAATACTGCTGTGCTCCTGTGTGTCTGTATAAAGCCCATGTGAGAGTGTGACAGTACTACCCTTTTTACACCCATCTCTCTCTTTCATGATACATACACACTAATATATCTTTAAGAATGTTAAGTCACTATTATATAAATACAGATATAATTTACACTACTGGTCAAAAGTTTTAGAACACCAAATGTTTACTGTTTTTTACTGTTTATTGTTGACCAAAACGTATTCTGAACTTTCAATTTGTGAAAGTGTCCACCTTTGGCAGATATAACAGCTGAACACACTCGTGGCTCATTCTTTTTAAAACAGAAATCAAATATTCTTCAGAAAGTTTTTCCCAAGTCTGTAACAGAAGTTTCCATAAATATGTGGCACTTGTAGGTTGCTTCACTCTTCTGTCCAGTTCATCCCAAAACTAACTCGATGGGGTTTAAGTCTGGAGACTGTGCTGTTCTTTTTTCCTGAGGTAGTTTTGGCAGAGCTTGGACTTGTGTTTTGTTATATTTTATCTTTTTTTAACCTCTGTCTGTTCAGTTCTTCCCTTTGTACCATTTCAAGCTCTTCATTGGACTTGCACGATTTGAGCTGCAAATAATAACTGGAAAAATTACAGTGTTCTAAAACTTTTGAGCGGTAGTGTATGTTTGTTTTTTGTGAGTATGACAGGGTTTTATGATTTTTTCATGTTGACTTCATTTGTTGGGATAATGTCTGTTCTGAGAGTTCTCTATTGATGACATAACTCTAGGGAGAATTCTATCACAAAGTTAGGCACAATTTAAGAGCAGAAAACATCTTATTTTTTCAGATTCTTCAAGGTCCTGTATTACACAAAATTGCCAATTGGCAAATACAGGACCAAAATTATCCAAAAGATTCTCGTGAAGGTGTGTGGAGTTTAAAAACACATTGAAGCACTTCAGGTATCACCACGTGACATCACAAGTTGAAACAGAGTGTTTTCTGTTTGAGAGAAGAACTCATCCTCAATATGCAGGCACCAAACTATTACTTATTTTAGGTAAAAGAGGTTATATATTTTGTTCTGAACATTATGAAAATGTTTGAGAGGAGATGTCTTGTGCATTTGAGGGACACATGATATATAAGGTAAAATCATGTTAAAGCTATTTAAAGTTATTGAACCTCGTACTCGTAAAGAGTCACTGTATTTCTCTTTCCTTGGAAAATCGTCTATACAACCTTTCAGTTCACCAGACAAAAAGACTAAAAAAGAGAGATTAAAATCATGACTAGAATAGATAAAATAATTAGTGGAGATAAATAAAAGATACAACAATTCTATTAAATTACAATGATAAGATTACATATGGGTTAATTTATTTGTAGAAAACTGACTTTTTTTTCTTTTTTTTTTTTCTCTCTTAATCAGTGAGAGGAGGAGTGTATGCAGAGCAGATGTAAATGTGTGTACAGTACATAGTGTGCTGCTGCTCCTCCTCGCTCACATGTGCAGTCTCAGGATGGACACACTCACTCTGCTGTGGGCTGCTCTCTGTCTGATCTGTGAGTTTTCCTCTTTCACACTCAACATCAGCTCCACTTCCACACAATGCTCCTGTTATTGAAGCATCTCCTCAACACATTTCTGTCCTCCACAGGTGTGAAGTGTGAGACACTGACACAGCCAACCTCTGTGACTGTGCAGCCAGGACACACTCTCACCATCCCCTGTACTGTCTCTTATGATGTTACTTACTCTAATGGCTACGCTACAGTATGGATCAGACATCCTGCTGGGAAAGGACTGGAATATATTGGAGGTCACTGTGCTGGATGTGGAGGAACACTCAAAGATTCACTGAAGAATAAGTTCAGTATAAATGTAGATTCCTCCAGTAAAACAGTGACTCTGAATGGACAGAACATGCAGCCTGGAGACACTGCAGTGTACTACTGTGCCAAAGATATAGCCGCGCTGCACAGTGATAGAAAACACATCCACAGTTGTACAAAAACATATGTCAACAGAGTTTTCCCTCCACTTCAAACACTGGCAGTGTGACACATAGAAATACAACAATTTTCTTGTCATTGTAAAAGACCAAAATTTGTGTTTTTTATGATACAGTATAAACATCACAATTAATACAAATGCATTTATCACAAAAATGTGTTCATGAATTGTATTTGATGGTGAAACATTTAAATTTCATTAGTCTCTCTGTGAAAGATAAATTCAGCAGAGACTAATGTGTGAATTTCCACAGGGCTCAAATTTATGACCAGCTTTGTTCTCCCTGTGTATGTTAGCACTCGACTCAACATTTAGAAAATATTTAATTTCTTTTCACTGTTTTGCTGATGATGTTCATATCCACACACTATTCAAATATCAAAGAGAATCTTACTCATTCTGCTAATGAAAACTGAAAACCATTAGAGGATTGTTCATCAAGACGCTCACTGAGAGAAGGAATCTCATTTTAGAATATAATTAAAATAAAATATTAAATATATTTAGAGCTTTTCAACATGTTTTCTTTGCTACATAATTCCGTATCTCTTAGTTCATATATTTGCTGTCTTCAGTTTCTGCAGTGTACAAAGTATTAAACATAAAGTAAAAAAAAAAAAAAAAAAAAGAACAAACATTGAATGAAAAAGTAGGTCCAATCCTTTTTCAAGTTTTCATTTCACATTCCTGTCTGTGTCCAGCAGAGGGAGATGTATGCAAATAAACTCTCTTTATATTGGCCTATTATTTGTGCCTCTGCAACAGAATTATTTGTGACATTGGAAACTTAACACAAAGCACAGAAGTGACACATTTTATAATGGAAACAGTTACTTTGGTGACTTTTCTCTTTGTAGCTACAATAAGTGGTAAGTATTTACGTAGGATCTAGTGCATGTGCGTGTGGTTGGAAGTGGTTTTGTGTATTTCATGTTTTTCTTGTGCAGGTGTGTGGACAGAGATCAAACTGGAGCAGCCATCTTCTTTGGTGAAAAGAGCTGGAGAAAGTGTGAAGATGTCCTGTGTTACATCTGGTTTTTCTATGACAAGCTTCTACATGCACTGGATACGACAGAGACCAGGACAAGGGCTCGAGTGGATCGGCAGAATGAACGCTGGAAGTAACTCACCAATTTATGCCAGTGCCTTTCAACAACGTTTCACTCTGACTGAAAATGTCCCCAGCAGCACCCAGTACATGGAGATCACAGGTCTGACAGCAGAAGACACTGCTGTTTACTACTGTGCCCGACAAGCACAGTGACAGGAAGAGTGCAGCTCATGTACAAAAACATCCAACCAAGAGCTGCTGTGCATGTTCCTCTCAAACACAGGCTGAAAATTCACACTAAAACAAATAAGTTAGCAGTTTTTATTTTTGGTCAATTTAGTGTCTCAGTCAAACTATTTTTATTTATTTTTCCCCCACAGCGCTTCATAGTTAGGACGGCCGCCTCGACAACAATTGCCCCCCACCTTGACGACGTCCTTCCGAACCACGTGAAAACTAAAGTCGCACTCCCCCATTCCTCCTGGCTGCATGGATATCGGAAAAATGATCAGTTAATTTCACATGTGAGCTCCATGGGCTTTACTCTCCTACACTACTGCCTACGCCTATTTTGAGCTGCTTTATTTCTCAAAGTGGCAGCAGCGTGGGTCCTGCTGCTCTTTACAAACAGTAGAGTTCAAGGTTGTTATTTAATGTCATCAGGCCAAGTTACAGGTCTGATCTGTGGAGAGGCGGCCCTGCTCACAGTAAGAATGCATGTTTTTAAAGGTATTTATATTCAAACCCTCCTTTTGGTTTGTCGTAAGATTCTGTCCAATGCTCAGCCCACAAGCCTACAGGTGAGGCACGACACAGGCGGACTGAACCAGGACTGATCCCAGGACTGAACCAGGACTAAAACAGCAGTAAACCAGGACTAAACCAGGACTAAACCAGAACTAAACCAGGACTAAACCAGAACTAAACCAGGACTAAACCAGGACTAAATCAGGACTAAACCAGGACTAAACCAGGACTAAATCAGGACTAAACCAGGACTAAACCAGGACTAAATCAGGACTAAACCAGGACTAAACCAGGACTAAATCAGGACTAAACCAGGACTAAACCAGGACTAAATCAGGACTAAACCAGGACTAAACCAGGACTAAACCAGGACTAAACCAGGACTAAACCAGGACTGTCTGTCGGGTGATCGTAGGTGACAGGACTGGCGCACAGCTCCACACCTCGTGAAGCTAAGCGCAGCCGTCGCACGATTGCGCTTTGCCGATTCCGTGCTCCGTGGGCTCGGGGTAGAGCACTGCACTCCCGCAGTCCTCCCACGGATCCCAATGCAAAACAGTGCGGCGTGGGACATACTTTGAAAGCTCATTGCACAGGGAGGAATGAGACTGATGGGATGATAAACTGCAGTCCCGCAAATTAAATGTGTAAAGTAAAATACACAAATGATTAATATTTGCCTATCATACATCATTTATACTGGATATTTGATTTGGCATTAATAAAAACATTTTAAGCAGCCTAAATTTGTGGACGTAGTCTAATCTTGTACACATTTTAGACAATTCCTTTCCCTTCTCCGTGTTTGATAGCGCTTATGAAAGAGAACCTCCCGATTGTGCGGGATTTGCAGGCGGGACAAAATATCGCAGATGTGGGCTGAAGCGGAGATGAAAATTACAATTCTTTGCGGGCGGGAGCGGGACTAAACCAGAATTCTGTCTTGCACAGACATCGAGCTTGGAGTTCTCTCTCTTTCTTTCTCAAGTCCAAGATTAGTCCTGGTTTAGATCTGGTTTAGTCCTGGTTTAGTCATGATTTAGTCCTGGTTTATTTAGTCCTGGTTTAGTTCTGGTTTAGAGATCTGGTTTAGTTAGTTTTTAGTCCTGATTTAGTCCTGCTTTAGTCCTGGTTTAGTCGTGATTTAGTCCTGGTTTAGTCCTAATTTAGTGCTGGTATAGACCTGGTTTAGACCTGGTTTAGCCCTGGTTTTAGTCATGATTTTAGTCCTGGTTTACATCTGGTTTTGACTTGGTTTTAGTCCTGGCTTAGTCCTGATTTTAGTCCTGGTTTAGTCATGATTTAGTCCTGGTTTAGTCATGATTTAGTCCTGGTTTAGTCATGATTTAGTTCTGGTTTAGTCGTGATTTAGTCCTGGTTTAGTCCTAGTTTAGTGCTGGTATAGACCTGGTTTAGACCTGGTTTAGCCCTGGTTTTAGTCATGATTTTAGTCCTGGTTTACATCTGGTTTTGACTTGGTTTTAGTCCTGGCTTAGTCCTGATTTTAGTCCTGGTTTAGTCATGATTTAGTCCTGGTTTAGTCATGATTTTGTCCTGGTTTAGTCATTATTTAGTCCTGGTTTAGTCATGATTTAGTCCTGGTTTAGTCCTGGTTTAGTTCTGCTTTAATCCTGTGTCCTACTGATATTCAGTGATGTTAAAAGTCGCCTCAGTTAACTGCATGAAATTGCAAATTATTTGCTGTTACAAAAATCATTTATGAATGCACAAAAAATACAATATTATAAAATATATTATCAGTTGTTATTGAAGCTCATCATTGCCAGAAACACAAAAGATGCATTTACTGCTCTACAACTTCACAATCTTGATACAATGTGCAGTAGTTTAATTAGCGGAATGCAGGATGACTGTAATGTGATGCGCTCTGAAGAAGAGTGCGGACAGCAAAGATAGGGGAGCCTCAGAACATCAAAAGCAAAACTTATTTAGATTTGTTTTTGTTGAATATAGCATTTTTAAGACAGTAAGTAGCATGGTGATCTAAATATGTTATGTGTTAGCTGTTAACACCCCATAGAAGTATAATAGCCCCTGTTTCATGATTACAATGGAGAAGATTCATTCTGTGGTGTGCCCTCTGTGTGGGAGGGTCAAACAATGTGACAGGAAATAAGAAGCAGGCCATGTGAGATCACACAGAATTCAGCATCCTGTACAAAACCACAATACAGTTACCATCACATCAGACTAAGATGGACCTGGCCATGCTCTGCACTTTCATAGGTAAGAAACTTCATTTTACAGGTCCTGTATTATGCAAAATTGACTCCTGTGAGCTATTAGTCATATTAGAATGCTGTCACCTCCTCAAAACATACACAGAGTTTTGTTTTGTTTCATTCACACATGAATTATTTCCAACAGAAAACACTTGTGATGTAATGTGCTAATACAGGAAGTGCCCCACTGTGTTTTTAAACTCTATACACCATCACTAGAATCATTTGGATGATTTCAGACCTGGAACTGTCAGTCTGTACTGAAATAAAAACAACAACAACAACAACAACAGCAGGTGGAACAGTGCATTTTGAGCTTTTGGAGATGTACGGACTAATAAGGATAAATAACTGATAGAGTTCATCAGGGTGGAATCCTGTCTCCCCTTTTGTTTAATATTTATGTTGATGACCTGTCTCTGCAGCTGAATGAATGTAAAACTTTTGCTGCTGATTATCTGTATAACCATTTAATGTATGCAGATGATCTAGTACTGCTACTACTAAAAACTGCTCAATTTTGGGACACAGGACCTGTGGGGGGGGAACTCCTCCCTCTGGATCTCCCTCCCCAAACACATCAGAGACTCATCCACACTCCCCATGTTTAAAAAAGCCCTTAAAACCACCTTTCCTTAACTGTTTTGTTTCTTTTGTTTGCCTTTGTTTGTCTCTTAACTTTAAAGGTTGTACAGAGGATTTGTTTAAGGGAAGAGAAGTACAGCGACAGTCCTTGTGCATACGTGACACCACCGTCCTCCTCCACAGCTCCCTCAGTAGAAATGCCTCCTCCCGCCTCCTTACTCTAGAATTACTGTTGAAGTGACCTGTCTAGACGTAATTTAGCGACAGATGCATCGGTTTTTAGACCCTTTGTCTGCTTCACTCGCGCCATAGCTGGAAGGAATCTCCAAGAATCACCTCAGTTTGGCTTTGCTCCTTTTCCCCTTCTCTTCTTCTTTCAGCGACCTCAAAAACGGACTTTCTTTGTGGCGAATTGGTCGTGGATTCTCGTCCGCCATCACAACAAACTTTGTGCAAAATGCGAGGAAGCTACAGTTTGAAAAAGCCTCTAAGAACCGCTGCATAAACCACGTAATCCCCACACGCTGGCAAGTCAGTTACACGAGGGAGTTTGATTGACAACCTAACAGCCAATAGAAAATGAGGTAGCCTCCTTGTCTATTGGCTGATGTTTATCTGGCCTCACTACGTCCACAGTTGATAGATTTTCATTCTTTTTTTTTTTTTGGTCATTATAATTACAAAGCTGCTGCATCTCTGTAATGGTATTTTAAACTTTCATTGACAATTTGAAACAAACAAACAAAAAAAAATCCTCTATACAACCTTTAAGCATCTTGGAGTATCTTGAAAAGCACTATACAAGTTTTATGTATTGTTGTTATTATTATTATTATTATTATTATTATTATTATTATTAAAAACATGTTTTATCACATTCCTGTCTTGACAAAATCTCATTGAGAAAAATATTTATTTTGATCAATATTGCCTACTTCTACTAATACTTTGCAGGAATTAATATAATGTGCACGTAACTACTGATAATATTTTGAAGTTATTTTGAAGTAACGTTACTCTTACTTGAGTACAATATTGTGCTACTCAACCCACCACCGATAATGAACAAACAGTTTAAGAATAATTCAGATTAACTACTTTATTTATACCCTATGCATTAAGTATATTGGCATGCTTTATTCATTCATTCATTCGTTTGTTTTTCTTTACAGTGTCTTTGAGGGTAATCCCAAACCGCGTGCAGTTTTTTCAGTATGACACGGTGTATCTGAGCTGTGGAAACAAGACTAATGCATCCAAATGGACCATCCTGAGGAACACGAGTTTACACACAAACCAAAAAAACCCAGCGCAGAATAAATCCAACTGGTTTATGAATAGTAACATGTACTACAAAGACGCAGGAGTGTACTGGTGCCAGTCTGAAGAGGGCGAGTGTGGGGCTGCGGTTAACATCTCTGTGACTGGTGAGTACGCGTTACAATATCAGATTTAGTTGATTATTGTAAAATTACAGTGAGCAAATTAACTATTATTCACAATTATTGGAGCCAAACTGTTGTAAAATCCTTTAAAACGCTAAAATACTTTAAATTACCATTCCTCCATATTACTTACAACCTAAAACTTTCTGAATTGAAAAGTTCTGTCGGGTGTGCCACCTGCTGGTCTTATTAAAATAGTTTGTACATAGTGTAGATTGAATTAAATGTGTTTTTAAAGCTTAAAAGGCCCATCTCATGCAAAATAACTCTATTCACATTATATTTTCTGCACATATACAATCACAATTTGGGTTTTGGAACATCCATTACACAATAGTTATAAAATCTTATTGATTTCTTGGAGGCCGTCACAGACCAGGAACTATGAAAGGCCGACTATCGCTCGTCCCCCCGCCCGTCCTGAGAAAACACAGCCTCCGCCCTCTGAATGTGACGTAGGCTCTGAGTGAGTCGCTCTTCCTCTGCCCATCTCAGGGAGGGAGGGGGAGACAGGCGTGCACCCTGATAAGAGGTAGGAATAAACTTTTATTCATCATGGCGATACAGCGCGTTCAGCCGCATGTGTTGGACCCAGAATCGGACGAGGACTTTGAGGTGCACGAAGCGCAAGCACCGCGTCAACATCAGCTGAACATTACTGATTGATAAAGTATTAATAAACGCTAGTATATAAACGTATTATATCGTGTACATTGCAGTGTAGAACAATTAGCTTATGCTGTCGCTTTTGTTTAGATGTTCCTGTGGGAATTGTTGGCCGATGCGGGGTGGAGGCCGGGCAGTGGAGCGGGGGAGTGGGGCAGGTGTAAAGCGCTTTCTAATACGTCAAACGCATCATAGGTGTAGCTGGCCACGTCATTGTTGTAGCAGGTTTAGTTCGTTGTTACGTGGGAGGGAGGCAGAAATACGCTGCAATTTGTAAAAAAAAACGCCAAATCAATCTAAAAACTACTTCAGCTACATATACAAGGCCCACACATCACTCTTAGAAGGTAGAAAGCTCTGAAAAGTTTATTTTACATGAGATGGGCCCTTTAAGGTTTTGGACCAACAACCACCAGAAGTTACATAGTGTACCTTTGTTTCCAAAAGTCCTCAATTCTCAGTATTGAAGAAACTGGCAAGGAGCATTGTTCTTCATCTGTTTCTTCTTAAATATTTTTTCCCCAACCAAAGTATTGCATTTTTGACCACTTAAACATTGACGAAACATCCCCATATGGTTATGGGATCAACTGGATGGCAAAAATATTGAAAAATATTGGAAAACATGACAATGGAACAGTGAGTGAGAACGATAAGACATACCAGAACGTGACCTGGAACACATCCCTATGAACAGGAATTTGACCGTATTGGATCAAAAAATCTGTCACCAATTTGAATGCATGTTTATAAATAATCTACTCTTAGGTTTTTAGTCTAAATGAGCTCAGATTCATTAAAATGGTAGATATTTTTGGAATACTCCTTGCATTTTGCCCATAGCACACGGGCGGAAAACACGTTAATTTCCTGTTTTTTTTTTATGACTTGTTGTGGCCACAGGCATTGGCCTAAAGACCTCAAATCCAAATCACAATTACATGATTGTAGTGTAAATGTAATCGAATATGAAATGGAATAAATGGAAGAACACTATAGCGCCTCCTATCAGAGACATGGAATGTCAACATTATCGTATTTGTACAAAATTAGGGAATTTAATTGTATGCATGACAACAAAAAACAAACAATATTTTTTTCATGGTTGGCCAGCACCGCATAAACCTAAAATGCATGACACTGTATTTATTTGTTATTTTTTTTAAATTTATTGCTGCTGCTATTATTTTGTTGGCATCAATTTAAAGAGAACAACAACAACAACAACAAATATGAAAATTAACAGAAATAAATATTTCTACGATTATTTGCTTTGTCTTTGCTGCATGAAGGAAAGGGACAGGAAGAAGATAAATCTCATAAACCCTGCCCCATTACCCTGATTAGACTGATGTGGCAAATACAGTGATCAGTGCTACAGCTCCAACTTTGTAATGGCGACAAAAAAATTGCTTTTACTCAGTGAAACTTTGCTTAATATTTACTGATGTGCTCCTGATTATAAAAGTCAATGAGACCTATGTTTACAGAATTCCATGCTGGGATAGCTGCGACGGCCCCCGGTGCCCCTCCCACGTGACCAGCAAAGGCTTAGATCAGGGGTGTCAAACTCATTTTAGTCCAGGGGCCATATCCAACCTACTTTGATCCCAAAGGGGTTGGGGAAAAAAAAAAAAAAAAAAAAAGGCATATATACCCCAAAAATAACAATAAGTTCAAATATTTGTGCAAAGAAACACAAATCTATTACAGAAATCTTTTTTAACTGATGAACTCTTTTCTAAAATATAATATTATGAACAACCTGAAACTTTAAGAAAAATGCAATTTCAACACAATGCTTTAACATGAACTTGAATGCAAATAGGAATAAGTACATTTTTCATGGAAAATCCTGCACTTGGCATCCACTTTTTCTCATTTTTGACATTTTGTTGATGAGGGTGTCACAGTCAACAGTCAAAATGATCGTCCTTTAAGAGTGTTTGGAAAGAGACAAGTCTTCCTTTGTGCTGCTCTGGTGGGAGGGGCCACGTACAGAGACGCTGGAGAAGCTGCTATGCTAAGTGGTGCAGAAAATTACCAATATTTTAATAGAAAATAATTAAAATATTTTAGTAGAAAGGCCAGTAGGCCAGATTAAAGGTCTTGGAGGGCTGGATCTGGCGTCCGGGCCGTATGTTTGACACCTCTGGCTTAGATTAAGTCTTTCTTCATGCTTTGTTACGGCTATTATTTATTAAGGCTAATTACAGAACAGAAACAGAAATGCACCAAAGTTGGCAGAGTAAACCAACTTAGTGTTAAATGAATTCTCATCAAAAAGGAAAAATCTCACCTTTAATCAGTTAAGAAGTTATGTGGTTGGGCCTGAAGTACTCAAACCAACAAAACAAATTCCTGTGTCTTTAACTTGCGTGTTCTCCTGCTGTTCTGTTTTTAGCTGGAGATGTGATCTTGGAGAGCCCAGTGCTGCCTGTAAAAGAGGGAGAGACAGTGACACTTCGCTGCATTTGGAACCCAGACAAACCAATAACTGAAGGAACGTTTGAATTCTTTAAAGACGGTTTTTGTGTCGGGAACAGCACCAGCGGAGACCTGACCATTCCCATTGTGTCTCACTCAGACTCTGGACTGTACACATGCAGCCACCAGGGGGAGCTGTCTGCAGAGAGTCAACTAAATGTGCTCCAAACGGGTCAGTCAGAATAAGTTCAAGTACCATGGTCCATGTTACGGTTAAGACAAGATTTTGTCTTGATTTTAGTCCTAGTTAAGATTGGTTTAGCCCTGGTTCAAGTTAGGACCTGGTGTAGTCCTAGATCTTGGTTTAATCCTGTTACTCATAAGATTTGTGAGCCCTTGTGCCTCATTAATTGAAATTTGTGTATCTGAAGGTACGTTTTGTTGTAAAATCTTACATCCCCTGCATAGTCTTAGCAAGGACATCCAGCTGATGGTTGATCTTTGATTGTGGTTCTCTCTCTCTCTCTATCTATCTATATACATACACATTCATTCACAGCAGGGCGCCTCCCACAGCTCAGTGAAACAGCTTCCTCTATCACCTCCTTCATCATCATCATCGTGCTTCCTGTTACCGCGGCGACCTTGGCCCTGCTCTGCACCATTCTTGTTTTCTTGTGGAGGAAACACAAAGGTTAGACATACTTCATTACATTTTTATTCTGTACTCTTCTAATTAGGGGCCAAGAACGTGCAGTATGTATGAGAGAGGCCAATCAAATCTATGTAGAAGTAGATCAGGACATATAAAAAATGATATTATAGCCCTGCCATAAATCCTAAAACCAGGACTGCCAAAATCACACATCAAAATAAGGGCATCATTGAAACAAGGGGAAAAAAAAATTAACTTATAAAAAACATACAATACAAAATATACAGTAGGGTAGTCAAGTGCAAGTAGGCTAATTACAGTTGTTTAAAGTGATCAAGTCACCAAAGTGTTCATTGGTCATGAGGCTCAAATAGTGGGGAGGCTGTGACTTTTCTGAAGTCCACCATCATCTCCACTATCCTCTGGGTTTTTATATATTTATGCTCTAAGACTTTCACAGCGGTTAGACTTCTGATTTCACAGTGAAGAGAAGTGGATATTTAGCATCGCTTATGTTCGACTCGTGTTAAAAAATGGGCAGTTCAAATCATGTGTCTGTCATGGGCTCTTCCTCAGTGCACCTCTGGAGGTGTTTACAGGGGCTGGAAGGCTGTGTACGGTCGCTTTGGCAATTTTACTGAGTTGTATTTGTAGATATGAGTGGCTGAAGGCCTATAGGTCTTGAGTGCATTTTGCCACTGATATTATTTACAGCTACAAATACTTGTAAGGCTTTAATTGTGATTTGAAAAGGTTTTTGTGTATTCTAAATGAATCTGTTCTTCTTGTATATGTGTGTGGACAGAAAGCAGACTGGAGCAGTCAACTTTTTTGGTGAAAAGAGTTGGAGAAAATGGAAAGATGCCCTGTGCCATATCTGATTATTCTATTGCAATCTACAACATTGGACAGAGACCAGGACAAGGATTACAGCGAATCAGCAGAATGAGTGCTGGCCAAGAACAATTTTCTCTGACTGAATATGTCCCCAGCAGCACCCAGTACATGGAGATCACAGGTCTGACAGCAGAAGACACTGCTGTTTACTACTGTGCCCGAAGAGCACAGTGACAGCAAGAATGCAACTCATGTACAAAAACATCCAACCAAGAGTTAAACACTGGCTGGAAATTCACTTTATTACAAATACAATGAAAACCACAGTTTTTATTTTTCTATTTTAATTTGATTTGTTCAAAATAACTGGTGCCATTCTGTTAGTAATGACATGAAAGGTTGCCACCATCATAAACTGAGCTTGTGGGATTTTGTATGAGTTTAAGACGTCTAAGCTTTTGACTGGTGCTCTGTTGGCACAGTTAACTTCAGCACTGCTTTGTTTAAAACCCGAGGCTTTTGACTTTTCTGTCTTTTGTGTGTGCGGTTTTTTGATTAGAAGATGTGTCTTTATTGTCCCAGCTCATCTCGTCCTCGTTCTAGCCACCGGAGCTGTGTTTACGTCGCCTCAAGCTGGATTTTACCTGCACACACTGCCCTCACCTTGGCTACAGCAGCACTTGGACCTTACGACTCACCATAAATATCAAACATGTCTGATCTCCCTGTGCCCATATGATCAGCTGTTTCATTTATCATGAGCAGGTAATCTTAACGCCCTGTACACTGCACAACATTGCACGTTGCACAAGAGCCGAAATTTTGCCCGATTGTTAAACTGTTCGGCCCAAAGACGGCACAGTGTAAGGCCATCTTTACTGTGACAAGATTAAATACAATAGTGAAGTACTTAAGCATGTGGAAGTTACCCATCACTTGTTAAAAAAAACAGTTTTTAATCTGTGTTTAGGTGATGATGAAGCTTTATTTATTTATTTTAACTAGTGCACAGCCTGTAGAAGACTTATGGATACCAAGTGTAGCCAGCGATAATTTCAGAAGTTGTTGCTGGATACATTTCCCGTGGTGTCCTGTGACCCGTGGTGTCCGTGATTCCAAAAAGTTTCCAAAAAGTTTGCCTCAACAACATTAAACTTGGCACTGCACACACCCATACTATAAGGATAACACCCTCCAAATTTGAGATTACCGTATTTTTCGGACTATAAGATGCACTTAAAATCCTTACATTTTTTCAAAAATCGACAGTGTGCCTTATAATCTGCTGCACCTTATGTATTAATTCTGGTTGTGCTTACTGGCCTAGAACTGATTTTATGGGATACACGGCGCTCAAAAATCTGTCAAAATGTTTTACTTTGGTAAACTACGAAGCGGCACTACTTGATGGATTGTCGGAATATTAAGGCTACCGTAGTCAGAAGCCTCACAAAGTATTATAGTCTCTGAAAAGTTTCACATGAACCATCTCCAATGCAACAGAAGCACAGAACAGACTCAGCAGCAGCAGCACATCCTCTGTCACAGAACACACATATTCCACTGAGTCGTGTCCTTTAGTCCAACAGAAGCTGAACCAGGTTTAGGTTAGGTTTAGTTTCGTAACGTAAACAAATATGAGCAAAGCTGGATTAAACACATTATTACTCAATTTATATTTGAGTCCTCCTCACAGGAAATAAATTATCCACCCACATTCACATTCATAATTCACATTCACCAAGACAGGGATACAACCCCGGGTGAATTACGCCACGATCTGCCAATGGATCATGGACGCCTGGGCTAAGGGATCAGTCTCAAGTGTCGTCCGTTTGTTTCATTTAATGCATCTTATAATCCAGTGCGTCTTATGTATGAAAATAGACGAGAGAATTCAACATTGTTGTTATTGTGCCTTGAAATCGTCTTATAGTCTGAAAAATATAGTAGTCGGATGAGTGGTTCGTGAGTTATACGTGGAACAGACAAACACAGAAACCAACTGGAGGAGACACAGACAGACGTTCCTTGCATTAATAGATAGATGTGAAATTTTGAGAATCGACAGTGAACAGTTTTACCTCTCCATACCTCTTCTCGTTATTTTGTTTTTTTTTCTGGATGACTATGACAGCAATCCATTTGCACAGTAATATGGGAGGCTTTTTTAATGTCAGAAGCCCTTCATCTGGCAATGGATACCAGCTGAATGATTTATTTCATGTACAGTATGTATGTTTGAAATAGCTAATAATACAACTCACACCTAAATAAATAATAGTGATAATTAATAATTTAAAAATGATAATTTGTCTTCTTGTGTACGCCGTGTTTCTTGTGCCTCTAAACAAGAACTAAAACCAGGACTAAACCAGAACTAAAACCAGGACTAAAACAGGATGTAACCAGGACTAAGCCAGGCGGATCGCACCTGCTCCCATACGTCATGTCTTCTCATGTATGCCACGTGGACCGCATCTCCTTGTATATGCTGCCAGTCTGTGAAAATATTGTCCGACATAAAACTGGTCCGTGGCGCAAACAAGGTTGGGGACCACTGCTTTAAAGTATGATTTTGAATCCCTGACCATCTGTGGTGGTAAGAATGTAGATGTAATTAAATTTATTTTATATTCAATAGCTTTTCCTCTGTCACTTTCAGGATGTGAATGCGATGGAGACCTGGAGCAGGTGGATATGGGAGTGTATAACATCAGTCACAAAGGAGGGAGGCTGGATGACAACACGGAGGACACTGGTATCATCACTGAACAGTGCACTGTTCTCCAGGACTTGCAAGATGCGCTGACTGAATCTTGAATGCTCTTCTGTTTGGACTCCTGTAATGCCTAAATCCCAGCTAGAGAAACTACTCTACTCCTTTTGGGTTTTATCAAAAAGTCCTCATGGGTTTGGATGGCAAAAAACTATATAACTATAACTCAGTTTTCTGCATACATAATTTGACTCAAAGTATGTGTGCGTGTTTGTCTGTGTATGTGTAAAAACACCTGTTTATTGAGTTAATTCATAATGTATCAGGAAATTCAGGTAAATTGCACTTCAAATATGTTTTAGAACATCTTTACTTTAATTTCATTCATTTTCAACATATATTTTTCAAATTTACTTCTCAAATTGCTTCTTGATTGGGTAGAAAATTTGTATTTGCAGCAGATATTATCCCACCAAATTAAGTCAGTACTAGAGAATCATCAGAACTTGTCAAGTACTAAATTTAACATAGGTTAGAAATTGGTTGCAATTTTATATAAGCTTAATAACTAAAATTAACATAATGTTGGAAATTCAAAAAACAATATTGTTAATTGGTAAAAGAGACTTGAGTAGTCTTGAGGCAACATTTTTACTTTGGATTTAATTAACATGCTTTGAGTTTAGTAATAATAACCAATTGTTGCATATAACTGACAAAATCTATCATTCAAACAATATGCTTGTGTGGAATCAAATAGTTACAAAAATGCTGAGCAACCTGAGAAAAGGAAATATCCATCATCATAAACACAACCTCAAAAGGTAGTTTTAAAAAGTTTAGGTTTACAAACAACACTAGCGTCTTCACTATGACCACAGTTGTGAATTCCAAATCCATTGTGGCGACAGTGTGTTAGTGATGGTTCAGATCCCCGACATTTGACATTGTCCAGCCAGATGGGTCCTCTTCCCCGTCCAAAAGCTGCATATAAAGGTGCAGCTTGCGCCCGGCCACAGCCCAGCTGTCTGCACACCACATTAGCGTCACTCAGGTCCCAGAAATCGTCACACACTGTGCCCCACTGCCCCTGGTGGAAGATCTCCACTCGTCCAGAGCACGAGCTGTTCCCTCCATTGACCAGGCGCACTGGAGGGGTGGGGGTGGTGGTGTAGGTTGGAGAAGGACCAGGAGTCGTGGATAGAACCATGTTGTTTTTACCTGGTTAACACAAAACATGTTCTCAGGTCAAAGTAATGCACTGCATTGGTATTGCAATATTTCAAAATATAAAGAAGCACAATAAATAGACATTCAAACTGGACCCAAAAATGAATCATATGTTATGATTATCTTCTTTATCTTGGGGAGTGGGTCACACATGCCTTTATTCTTTGTATACACCAAGAGGAATACAAAAAGTAACATGATGATTTTTGGTAACACATTTTGAGTTTTACACAAATGTTGCTTAACTTGGTTTCTTATATCTGTGTACTGTGTAACTTTTTTCTTGAAGAGGGACTACAATCTAATTGTCTCCATGGAGTTATTATTGTTTTGCCTATAATGTTCCACAGTATGACATTAAAATTATGGCAAGCCCAATCACAGTATGAATTAGGGATGGGCACGATTAGTCGACTAATCAATAATTTATCATTAAGAACTTTTTTTTTCGTTTCTTTTTTTTTTTCCATTTATTCGGCACCTCTGTGGGTATCATTGTACCACTCAATGACTGTGTTTACATGCACAGTATCCCGGTGTCATCATGCTGCATGTTTACACAGTATCCCGGTTACTGCAACATAAAGAGTTGCGGTAAATCTGCACACGTCTGATCTCTGAAAACATGAACCATCTCCAATGCTACACACACACACAGAACAGACTCACCTTCAGCATCAACATCCCTCTGTCACAGAAAGAACACCTATATCCCACTGAGTCGTGTCCTTTAGGTCAACAGAAGCTGACTTCGATATGTAATTTTAAACCTTTTCTTACGAAAATGTATTTTTAATAATAGTTTTGCTTGAACATTGAATCCCACACAAGCATAATAACAAATTTGTAAATAATGTCTCTAAAGCCTATCTGTAGCCGGCAGGTCAGATCTAATACATATTTGATATGATCTCGCGGGCCAAATATAATTATATCACCGGGCCTGAGTTTGACATGTCTGGTTTATATGTTGTAAATTGAGTTTATTTATGCAGATTAGTAATAGTAAATATAATGATGATACTTTTAATATAAAAATGTTAATGATTAATCGAAAATCAATCGTTAATTCTCCCGACGATCGATTAATAAAATTTCATCGAATGCCCATCCCTAGTATGAATGCATGCTTTTAAAGTTTCACAATATACCGAACAGCCCAGTGTCTTTACCTTTACAAATGACACTTGCATCTTCACTGTGATCACAGTTGTGAATTCCAAAACCATTGTGGCGACAGTCTCTTACTGATGGTTCAGATCCCCGACATTTGACATTGTCCAGCCAGATGTGTCCTGTTCCTCGTCCAAAAGCTGCATATAAAGGTGCAGCTTGCGCCCGGCCACAGCCCAGCTGCCTGCACACCACATTAGCATCACTCAGGTCCCAGAAATCGTCACACACTGTGCCCCACTGCCCCTGGTGGAAGATCTCCACTCGTCCAGAGCACGAGCTGTTCCCTCCATTGACCAGGCGCACCTCTCCCTCCACCGTGGTAGTGGTGGTGGTGGTGGGTGTGGTGGTGGTAGTGGGTGTTGTGTGGTGGTAGTGGTGTTGTGGTGGTAGTGGGTGTTGTGGTGGTGGCTGTTGTGGTGGTAGTGGGTGTTGTGGTGGTGGTGTTAGTGGGTGTTGTGGTGGTGTGGTGTGGTAGGGGTGTGGGTGGTGGTGCGGATGGTGGTGGTGGTGTGGTGGTGGTGTGGTGGTGGTGGTAGGGGGTGGGGTGGTGGTGCGGATGGTGGTGGTGGTGGTGCGGATGGTGGTGGTGTTGGCGGTTGGGGTTGTAGTGTTGGTGGTGGAGGTGGTGTTGTAAGTTGGAGAAGGACCAGGAGTCATGGGTAGGTCGTTTTCACCTGATTAACAAAACACATAAAGAAGCACAATAAAAAAGACATTCAGATTTGACCCAAAAATAAACCATATGTTATGATTATCTCCTTTATCTTGGGGAGTGGGTCACATGTGCCTTTATTCTTTGTATATACCAAGAGGAATACAAAAAGTAACATGACGATTTTTGATAACACAGTTTTCACAAATGTTGCTTAACTTGAGGCCAGCACACACAACAGTCCACTACATTTACCTGATTTAGGCTGCGATTTGTTTCTGCCTGAGTTCGGGGAGGTGTGACCCGACTTTGTGTCTTTGTGTGCAATTTTGACGCCGCTGTGCCCCTCATGTGTGGTGTCAGTGTGACTCTGAGCTGCTCTGTCAGATTGTTCACACAAAACATCAACAACGCTACAGTAAGAGACAATAACACAGAGGGCAGGGGCAGACGGAGTGACGGAAACTGAGGCGTGAGATACAAACTCAGGAAATAGCAAAGATTATTATTCACCTCTTTTAAAGTTAGAAATTTAAACTGCAGCATCTCATTCATATTATGTATAGAATTTGTTCTCCACAAATAATGACAGTCCAGTCCACAAAAACAGCACTGTTAACCCAGTTTGAAGCGTTCTTTAAAAGTAAAAGGTGAGAGTAGTTCCTCACAAGTGTCTGTTTACATTCACACAGTGCGCGGATCGGTGTGAAGCAAAAGTGACTCTGCTTCCTAAGGACTTTATCGACTTTATCTTTTATGCTTTAAAAATCATGTATCTGAAGTATTGCACCACATTTCACAAATAATAATAACACCGTATTGACTTGTATCTAAACTAGAAGTGCTGTGCTCTGATCTTTTGAACACAGCGAGTCTCAGGTTTTACACTAGACAGGAAACTGCTGATGCGAGGTGTGGTCACAACTTTGCAGCCTGTGGTACGCAGACATATTCCACTGCAGTCTTTGAGATCGGAGATTTAAAATCTCATACAATTCTCCTTGTGTCTGTGGTGTGTGAGCTTTTGTCAGACATTTAAAAATCGTTGAAGACAGAAAAATCCCGTAGTGTGTGGTGGCCTTTACTTTTTAAAATCACTTTTTCTTGAAGAGGGTCCAAAATCCCTTCGTCTCCATGGTGGTGTTATTGTTTTGTCTAGTGTTGTAGTGTCAACAGCATTAATCGAGACCGAGACCAGTCTGAGACCACAGGGTCCTGAGACTGAGACAAGACCAAGACCTCTGAGGGTCGAGACTGAGACACGACCAAGACTTTTAAAGGCCGAAACTGAGACAAGACCAAGGTCCATCAAGACTCTTTTCTACTTTTATGTGTATTTTACAGTTATTTGATCTGATTAATGTTCATTTAAGATTAAAATGAGCCAATCAAACTGTACTGCACTTACTCTGCACACCTTTTTTGGACCCTAACCCACAGTTTGAGAACCCATCCATCCATTTTCTTCCTCTTATCCGGGTCGGGTCGCGGGAGCAGTAGTCTAAGCAGGGACTTACAGACTTCCTTCACCCCAGACACGTCCAGCTCCTCTCGGGGGACCCCAAGGCGTTCCCAGACCTCCTGAGGGAGGTGCCCAGGAGGCATCTGAAACAGATCCCCGAGCCACCTCAACTGGCTCCTCTCGATGTGGAGAAGCAGCGGCTCTACTCCGAGCTCCTCCCGTGTGACTGAGCTCCTCACCCAATCTCTAAGGGAGCACCCAGTCACCTTGCGGAGAAAACTCATTTCGAGCGCTTGAATCCACAATCTCATCCTTTCGGTCATTACCCAGCGCTCATGACCATAGGTGAGGGTAGGAACAAAGACTGACAGGTAACTATGTGCGAACACAGCTCCTGCTCCAGTCATACAGGGACCGGACAGCCCTTAGCAAAGGGCCCCGGACCCCATACTCCCAGAGCACCCCCCACAGGACACCATGAGAGACATGGTCGAATGCCTTCTCCAGATCCACAAAGCACATGTGGACTGATTGGGCAAACTCCCTTGAACCCTCAAGCACCCGATGGAGAGTGTAGAGCTGGTCCAGTGTTCCACGGCCAGGACAAAAATCACACTGCTCCTCCATTATCCAAAGTTCGACTATTGGCCGGATTCTCCTCTCCAGTACCCTGAAATAGACCTTACCGGGGAGGCTGAGGAGTGTGATTCCCCTGTAGTTGGAACACAACGTCCAATGGTTGGAGAACCCCTTCTTTAATCAGACTTCCACTGGCACAGAAAACTGCTTCAAAGATAATATATATAGATATGTTTTGTTGTTGTTGTTGTTTTTTTCCAAGTTCCTAACATTAACAATTGGGAAACTTCAGCCGACATGTCGCTGTAGGTCTGTTCTGACACTGTAGCATAAATTATGATTACTTTATGCTTTGTGTCACGCCTTGCACTTCTAATCAGCACAAACTGAGGACCGAGCATATGAGCACTATACACAAGGAGAAGAGAACAGAAAAAAGGGGCCCCGTGTGGTTCCAGACATCAGTACAAGTTTTTTGGGGACAGCAGCAGATGAAATACGAACACACTCGTCGAGTGTCAAACCTTGAGTCCATGAAAAGACTGAGTCCAAGCACCTTCAAGACTGAGACAAGACCAAGTCCAAATGTGTTCGTGTCTGAGACGAGACCAAGACTGTAAACAAACGGTCTTGAGACCAAGACTGGTATTGAGTATTATGACACAAATTGTGCCTCTAATGTTCCGCGGTATGACATTAAAATTATGGCAAGCCCAATCACAGTATGAATGCATGCTTTTAAAGTTTCACAATATACTGAACAGTCCAGTGTGTTTACCTTCACAAATGACACCAGCATCTTCATTGTGAACACAGTCGTGAATTCCAAATCCATTGTGCTGACAGTCTGTGAGTGATGTTTCAGATCCCAAACAGTTGACATTGTCCAGCCAGATGTGTCCTGTGCCCTCTCCAAAAGCTGCATATAAAGGTGCAGCTCTCGCCCGACCACAGTCCAGCTGTCTGCACACCACATTAGCGTCATTCAGGTCCCAGGAATCGTCACACACTGTGCCCCACCGCCCCCGGTGGAAGATCTCCACACGTCCAGAGCACGAGCTGTTCCCTCCATTGACCAGGCGCACCTCTCCCTCCACCCCGCCACTGTTGTACCCAGGAGTGGGTAGAACCGTGTTGTTTTTACCTGGTTAACATAACACATGTTCTCAGGTCAAAATAATGTACTGCATTGTTATTGTAATAATATTTTAAATATAAAGAAGCACAATAAAAAGACATTCAGATTGGACCCAAAAATGATTCATGTTATGATTATCTCCTTTATCTTGGGGAGTGGGACACATGTGCTTTTATTCTTTTTATACCAAGAGAAATACAAAAAGTCACATGACGATTTTTGAGAACACATTTTGAGTTTTACACAAATGTTGCTTAATTTAGTTTCTGAAATCTGCACTAAGAATTTTTTTCTTGAAGAGGGTCTGCAATCTCCTTGTCTCCATAGAGTTGTTATTGTTTTGCAGAATAAATGTTCCACAGTATGACATTAAAATTATGGCAAGACCAGTCACAGCAAGCAATTTTTTAGCAATAAAACACCTGTAATTTTATCAATACAAGCTTGACAAGTTTAATGCTATACTCTGAAACATCTCCATGGAGACGAGCAGGTTTTTGGCCCCCATCAGAAAAGTTACATCACAACAAAATCACAAAACATTTAACGTCACCAAAGTTTGAAGACTTATGTGGAGCTTTGCCAATACTCTGATAACATAAATTGCAGTGTATTTCTCTTAAGCCATGAATAATCACAAAATATTGAACAGCTCAGTGTGTTTACCTGTACACTTCACACCAGCGTCTTTGGTGTGACCACAGTTGTGATTTCCAAATCCATTGTGCTGACAGTCTGTTACTGATGGTTCAGATCCCGAACAGGTGACATTGTCCAGCCAGATGCGTCCTGTGCCCTGACCAAAAGCTGCAGATAAAGGTGCAGATTGCGCCTGGCCACAGTCCAGTTGCCTGCACACCACATCAGCATCATTCAGGTCCCAAGAATTGTCACACACTGTGCCCCACTGGTTGTTATTGTACACCTCCACTCTGCCCGAGCAACGGTCTGTCGAGTTCACCAGCCGCACAGGAGAAAGAGCTGAGGACACAAACAGACTGTGTTACGATCAGAGATACATAAGGTCCTGCTCACACATTGCCAGAATGGACACCACTGCACATTTTAGAAGCCTGTCAGGACTAGTTTAGACTTTACCTTCACACACCACACCCGCGTCCTCACTGTGGCTGCAGTCATGGATCCCAAAGCCCCTTTGATGACACTGGGACAGGTCAGTCTCCTCTCCTGTACATGTCACATCGTCCATCCAAATGGGGCCAGTGCCCTCTCCAAAATTAGCTTCTGTAGGAGCAGAGAGCACCCTGCCACAGCCCAGCTGTCTGCACACCACCTGGGCATCCTGCAAGCTCCAGAAATCATCACACACTGTGCCCCACTGCCCCTCATGGAAGATCTCCACTCGCCCAGAGCACGAGCTGTTCCCTCCATTGACCAGGCGCACCTCTCCCTCCACAACAGCTGAAAACCAAAAACAAGCAAAAACATAAGTATTGTCTTTTAATACCACAAACTATGCATCTATCGTTAATACGCAACTTCACCTCAATCTGTGCATTGCCTGGATGTAAACAGGCACACTTTTAAGGAATGCTTCAAACTGCATTAATAGTGCTGTTTTGTGGACATTGTTTTCAGAGTACAAATTCTATTAATAATATGGATTAGATGCAGTAGTTTCACTTTTCAGCTTTACGAGAGGTAAGTAATAAAGTCTTGTATTTGTATCTTGTGCCTCTGTGTTGCTCTGTTTTATTGGCTGTTACTGTACCGTTGCTGATGTTTGATGATTACAATAAGACAGCAGCTCAGAGTTACACTGACACCACACACAAGAGTGCAGCAGATTCAGAATCGCACAAGAAAAAACAAAATCCTGTCACGCCTCCCCGAAATCGGGAGAGAAGCAAATAGCAGCCTAATGTGCTCGACACAGGAGAAGCAATGTTGCTCTCTCTCTATTAATTTCCAGTGAGATGTGTGCGACAATGCAAATGTCACCTGTGTCCCTCAGGAAGGCAACAAGTGAAAGTAATGCACATGACACCATTCTGAAAGTTGAAAAATGTTCAACTTTTGTCACTGTCACCTGTCACCACAGCCACTCAGTGAGGGTTTCATTGATAGATCATTGAGCTTGCAGAATGCATCACCGTCCTGTTCAGAGTAGTCATGGTGGAGAAAATAATACTCATAGGCTCAATTCTCTTTCCTCACTTCCTACTCTTTGATTCCTCTCCTTGATCCTCCTTTTTTAGCTGTCAATCAAATATTAAGTTCAAAGAAAACCACGAAGGAGGAATGAAGGAGGCTTCTGGGGGCAGACATTAGATAAAATAATTCAACTTTATTGGTCTCAGTGAGGAGTTTATATTCTCTCTCCTGTGTCTCCTCTGTGTCCTTTAGAATCAAGGAGAGGAATCAAGAGCTGTTTTCAGGCCAGACAGAGCAGTGCCGGTGCTGGTTCCTGCACCAGTTCCACTGGGAACCAAAGTTCCTACCGGTGAACGACCAACGTTCGTACCATTTACGTGAACCCATGACGCGTCATCGACAGAGTGTGTGTATTTGCCCCCAAATAAAAACAAGGCCATGCGAAAACAGATATCACAGGGAGCAAAATAACAAAGGTCGCATCATCGACACTAGCAAACATTTGTACTTATAGAAGTCATTATTTATGTGCACCAAGCTCTGCTACAGTATCGATCTGCTGTGGAGAAGAAGGTAGTGACACCCAATCCGAAGATGCAATGTTATCAGGCGAACGTGGATACATGCAAGACAAATGACACGTAATGTTTTTTGTAGACTAAAAACTTTTAATTTCATACGTGATATTTTTAATTGCTCTTTATTTATTTTACCGCTTGCGACCCAGATGAACGTGCTGACATCTTCTGTGTCGTCACGGTTCGCTTAGAAAAAACAAGTTTTACTTGGTTCGCATTGGGAATCAACTTTTCGGTTCCCAAACACTCTGATTTCCAGTGTGAACATGTGAGTTGGTTCAAGATTAGGTGCGAAAAGTGGCACCGGCACGGTTCTCTGTCGGCCTGAAAACACATAACGAGATTTTCTTTTTGATATTTCACGAAAAGACTACAGGGATATATCGAAGAAAGCTGCTGCGAACTTGTTTGTGCCAGAGTCAACGTGACAGTAAGTATACACATGCATATTTGTAATAATAATAATGTACGTTTAAAATGTATAATTCACCTATCTTTAATTTTATAATGTTTCATTTATGGTGTTATCTAGTGGACATTTCCAGAATTGCAGGCAGAGCACATGTTTTGAACAGATTTTTTTTTTGAAGTAACAGTAGTAAGATGCAGACATGACAGCATGCAGTCTGGTTACGTTTTGAGTCCACAGATTTCTTTATTTTGAGGTTGCATCACCGGTATGTATTTTCTACCTATGTTCAACAACATTCAAGCATTGTGATGTTTGTCTTTAATACTAGTATTCTGATATTGTAATTGTACGAAAATTATGCAGCTTTCAAAATGGCTTTAGATAGCCATCAATGTGTGGACTTATAACCTTGTACTTATAATATTATGTTTACTATATATTTTGCACTCTAATAGGCATATTGTAATTTCACATTTGTCTGTTCTACAGTTTCAAGCATCATTAAACCTTAAAGACAACCATGTCTGCAGTCATTGATGTGAGAGAGGAGTTTATTGCCATAGTTCCCATTATGGCATAGTGACTTTATGTGATTTATACATCAGTAAATACACAAATGTTGAAACTGATCCGTTGGTAGACTCTAAATCTCACTATATATGACTCTACAAAACACTAACAACAATAGCCTGCATTTTAACATTAGTAATCACTAGGGGTGTAACGATATCCAAGTTTCACAATACGACATCATCACGGTATGAACCTCATGCAACAATATTTATTGTGATATCGTGGGAAAGCTCACGATATAGTGGGGAGGTTCGCAATTAGGGATGTAACAATATCTAAATCTCTGGGTACAATCTTTTCATGATATTCATCTCACGGTGCAATATTTATTGTGATATTTTGTAGAGGCTAATAAAACTTTTTTTTATTTATTATTTTTTTATTTTTTACAGTGTATGAACGCGTATTGTGTATTACAGGCGGGTAGTCATTACACACGGGTGGGTCAGGACTAAACCAGGTCTAAACCAAGACTAATCTTGGACTTAAAGGTTGTATGGAGGATTTTTTTTTGTTTCAAATTGTCAATGATAGCATTATAGAGATGCAGTAGCCTTGTAATTATGATGACCAAAAAAAAAGAGAATAAAAATTAATCAACTCTGGACGTGGTGGGGCTAAACATTTGCCAATAGATAACGACACTGCCTCGTTATCTGTTAGCTGACAGGCTGTCAATCAAACTCTCTACGTTTCTAGCGTAACTGACTTGCCTGCGCGCTGCCGTTACGTGGTTTACGTACGCCTGTCACACAGTCCACAGACGCACAGACGCTGTTTACTCCACCAACACAAATGCTTTTTTGACCTATATCTTCCTCGCAGTTCGCACAAAGTTTGTTGCAATGGCGACAAGAATCCAGGAGCAGTTCGCCGCAAAAGAAAGTCAGTTTTTGAGGTTGCTGAAAGAAGAAGACAAGGGGAAAAGTAGCAAAGCCAAACTAAGGTGATTCTTGTAGATTCATTCCAGCGATGGCGCGACTGTTTACAAGTCATGTGCAGCGATGAGTACTTGTTTTCTAGAAACAAACCTTCCTCTTCAGTCCTGGGTTAGTCCTGGTTTAGTCTTGGTTCAGTCCGTGTCGTAGGCAGCGCAAAATTTTGATATAATCTCTAGTTAACGGGCAGGTGCGGTCCTGTCCTGCGCGGGTGCGGTGTTGTACTGGGGGTCTCCAAAAATGGACCCGTGCAGGACTCTGCGCTGTTGGGCTCCATTATGGAATAAATTAATCTTCAGTTCATTACATAAAGAAGGAGGAAAATAACAAAAGGACAACAGCAGCAATAAGTTTTAAGAAGGATGTAAAAAGGGTCGCACCTGTCCTGTGTGAGAAAAGTGTATAAGGTTTGTGCTGAGGGGTTTTACAGACTTAAAACAGGTAGAATAATTGTAAAATATAAAGTTGACTACTTCGCGGATTTCACCTATCGCGGGTTATTTTTACAACGTAACCCCACTATAAACGAGGGATCACTGTACTCTCACCTCCCAACCTGTGCACATGGCCTCACACTTGTCCCGACCGGGATGGAAAATGAAGAATTTCTTGTCCAGGTCATCCTTAAATGCGCATTTGTGCTTCAGTATGTTGCAGACTGACAGACTGTTTGTGTCTGCTCGCTCCTTCTGAGTCACAGAGAACTAAGAGAGACGCTCAGTTTAATGCCCCCAATGAACGGTACTGAAAACCCGGACATTTGCATCACTTTATAAAAAAAAAAAACCCGGACGCCCAGGACAGGACGCAAAATACGGACATGTCCGCGGGAAAACGGACGTTTGGTCACCCTAATAAAACTGAATATGCTACTTTTTCCTCTTATAATGCCTTGACAAGACTTAAAACTAAGACTTAAAACTGTTAGAACTTTTATTTCTTTCTTGTAGTCTACACTGAAATGGAGCAAAGGATCATGGTTTATATCAGGGGTGCTCACACTTTTTCAGCATGTGAGCTACTTACAAAATGACCAAGTCAAAATGATTTACCTAATACAAAGCCAAGCAAACTGCACTGAAACACTCTGTGCCCTTTTTTGGACCCTCACCCACAGTTTGAGAACCCCTTCTTTAAGAGAACTTCCTCTGGCACTTTACACAAAACTGTGAAAAAAGTGAAGGAAGATTTTTAAACCTGTTTTTTAAAGTTCCAAACTGGAGATGCATTGTTTTCTGGTTTTGCAGTGATATTTACCAGCCTCTGCACGTTTACCAAACCAAACGCACATCGTGACAAACACCGATGCATTTGTGCACTTTTGTTAGTCAAACTTCAGCCAAATGTGGCAGTAGGTCTGTTCTGTAGATCTGCTCTATGCTGTAGACCTGCTTCGTGCCAACACTGTAACACAAATTTAGACTCGTTTTTGCTTCACGTTTCATCTTGCTTTTCTGTCAGCGCGCACTGTGGAAGGGGCTTGTTTTCGCTGTACGCAGGAAGGAGCGAGAGCGTGAAAAGGCGAGGGGCGGCGTGCTGACGTGAGGCAGATGGACAGGTAGGATGTTTAGGAAGTTTAACCTGCCCTGTGATGCACGCTGGTACACGAGGGCACACGCTGTTACAGACGAGCCATGCATAGGGAGCGTGGGCATTTTTGATGTGCCGTAGAGTCTCCGCGGGTTTCAAATGAGCGCACAGGCTGCACTGAGACACCCCACACAGTCCTGCAACCCGGTACAAGTTTATTGCCTACAGCAGTGGCCATAATGAAATATGATTGCACTTGTTGAGTGTCAGACCTTGAGTGAGAGACAAGACCGAGTCCAAACGCGATCGAGTCCGAGACGAGTACTAAGACATGGCGATCTACCCACACGACCTTGGTGATCAACTGATAGAGCGGGGTCGACGTATTGCGCACCCCTGGTCTATATAGTTCCCTCTGTCTTTTTTTTTTTTTTTTTAGCTATTGCTGCACCATAACTCTTAATTTAAGCAATGCATCTTGTAATTCGATATATTGTGAGGGTCCACGATATTATTGTGAGAACTTTGATGATACGATATCACAATATGCCAAATTTACATAAATGTTCGATCGCTAGCAGTGTGTATGTTTGCAAGTTTTATCCCCGACAAAAAACGCAATGTCGACAAAGCTTTCTGCACCAACAAAGGCACCTACAGTTGCACCCAAAAGGCAGAGATGCTAACCATCCCATAAAAAGTTGGACTTCTGGACATGCTGAAGGAAGGAAGAAGTTACGCGATGTAGGAGAGTCCTGTACCAGGTCGGGTACCTATGGGGTAGACCCGTTACTACACCAGGTCTAAACCAGGTCTAAACCAGGGTGCATTGTGGACTTAAGAGAGAGAACCCCGAGTAGGGTGTCCGCAAAGTGCGATTGGGCGATGGCTGCGATTATCTCCATGGGGCGTGGAGCTCTACGCCGGTCCTTTCTCCTGCGGTCACCTGACAGTCTACACGGCGCACCTCTGAGCCAGTTCTGACAGTGAGTCCTGGTTCAGTTATGGTTAAGTACTGGTTTAGTCCTGTTTTAGTCCTAGTTCAGTCCTGGTTTAGTCCTCCTGGTTTAGTCCTGGAGTCAGTCCTAGGTTAGTCCTGGGTTAGTCCTGGGTTATTCTTGGTTCAGTCTGTGGCGTGTGCAGTGCAAAATGTTCAATGTTTCTTCTGCTCAGTACATAATGCCTATGAAGTGATGACAGTCGCATCGCGTCTGTGAATTCGTATTCATACTGAAGCGTAACCATTTCATTTCATGATTGTAATTCTTGAAGTTGTAACTTTTCAATTTGTATTCTGATGGATGCTTCAGTTAGAATGCTTTAATTTTGTATGTGATTTATCTTTTAACTTTGATA